TAGTATATGACGTTACAATATTTTTTTAATTAAACAGTAAGACTTTTCAACATTTGTGTATTGTGTAAGTGTATAAATTATTAGAATTTTACATTCTTAAAATAACTTTTAGAGCACGCCAGTGGCAGTCTTTTGCATACCCTGAAAAAGAGGCCTGAGCACGCCTATGCCATGATCTACCTTATAAAAAGCAAAACAAAGGTAACATAACTTGTCCACCTAAAGCAATGATTTCCACTAGAAAGGAATAGAATATTATGTATTAGTTAACATAGATTTAGTATGACATAACCYATATTGTTCACTAACAAACACATGAACAAGCCATTAATTAAGGTTCAAAAAGTTATAATACTGTTTAATTTTGTCATTTTGATAAAGGTCTATAGTTGGTGACCAACCAGATTTCTATATTTGAGTGACTTAACTGACCTTCCATGTTTCTGGAAATGTTGCAGATTTTAAGGATAGATTATATAATGTACTTATATTGTAAATAACAAACACGCCCACGTTAACACTAAATTGTTAATTTAGTAATCTTTAATAAAACCTGTCTGGACATAGGCATACAACTCTGGGAAAATGCAAAAAAATCAAACATCAAAAAAATACAAACATTCCAAAATATGGCACTTTGTAATTTTCTAAATGCTCATTACGTCTCAAACGATTCTATACATTCTGACTTAAAACTAAAATCGGTTCATGAAGAAGCGAAAATACATTACCAACGTTTCCAAAATCGACTATTATCTAACCAAAACCCACTAATAAAAATCTTGCTACACCCTCCATTCTCGGAACCCCCCCACCCAACAGACGCCTAAAACGCAAATGGTGCCAGGTGCCAGGWTCCCTCACAAGTTAAACCTACTTTAATAAATCGAAAAGAAAAAGAGAAATAAATAAAAGCAAGCAATGAGTGTCATCAATGGATAATTTCTCTACACATGTTAATACATTACTGTAATTTAAAATTGTACTCAGAACACATATACTTATTATGCCAACCGGTATAGATTGTATATTTTCAAATAATGAAAAAAAAGATAATGTATGCATAACCATGCCCACGGGGAGGCGGCTGCCTCCCCTGCAAGATTTTCCGCTTCACCAAAATATAATATTATACCTACCAATAGGGGGATTGGAGTCTGGACCTCCTTAGCTAAGGTATTGCCTCCCCTGCCAAGAATACCTGTGCAAGCTTATGAATGTATGGTTTAGTTAATGCCAATCTCCAATATTATACCAAAATAGGGGGATAGAATCAAGACCAGACGAAGAGGCGCAATTGTATGTAGTTATAGTGTCAAAATCTAACATATTAATATCAACACAGTTATGAATATTACTTAAAAAAGCATTGTTAAATGTAATAGATTTCTTACATACCGAATAGAACCATTCAACATGTCATAATTGTTTTAAAGAATGAAGGTTAACTTGTAAAAAATATATATTATTGAGTTGGAGGTGACATATTTAATAAAATATTATGATTTTAAAAATTATTTTAAGAATCCTAATCCCAATTTGCAGTTTTTCACAAATTCAGCAAAAATTATTTATTTTGTGTCTTTTCATGCTGTTATGCATTATCCTATAACTTTTAAATGTACTTGAAAATATTATCATTCATAATAAATAATAGTATTTATAATCAATGATATTATTTAAATATATATTTAATATATTTTAAACATTTAATTCAATAAGCTGAGAAGAAGCTTAATATTACTCTTTACCTTAATTCCAACGCAATATAATGAGTCATCGGATTCTAAAAAATAAATATAAAACTGTATTGATTGTGCTGAAATTTACTGTCATGTATACAGAAAGAATAAATATGACATCACGTTTTCTTAAAAATATAAAAAATTATCATTTATTTTTCAAATCCCCAAGGATCTAGTTGTTGATTATGTGATTCCATTAAGCAAACCGATGATTCGGCAATYTTTGCTAATAATTTCTTTAAATCAGCTTGAGAAAATAACTGGAAAAATAATATAATGAACATGTATAATTATTTATATATTTTTTTATCTTTCTAATTGCAATTACTTGATAGAACTTATTGTTCTTGTCTGTTATGTAACCAGCCAACTTGATACATTCAGTATATCTTTCAGCACTATGCAGTATAGTATGTAACAGCATAAAAATCTGAAATTAAAATATAAACATGTTTAATATGTGTACGTGAGTTGTTTACAAATAATTTAAAATTATAGTTTATTAAAAAAATGTCTGTGGCAAATACCACCATAGATCACCTTTGGAATACATATAGTTCGAAGAAGTTCAAAGTGTTCATGACGATTTTTGTCCTCATTTTCATGGTCAACAAGCCAACCATTGGGGAAAAAAAGCAAATTAAAGAGTTGTTCGACAACAATCTGAAAATTTAAATCAATACTTTATCATAATTTTAAATACCTACGACAAAATAGCTGCACATACTTGTGATGAACTTGTTACAATCTTTTTCCAATTRCTTAATGCAATTTGATACTGTTCCATGTTGTGGTCATAGATCAATTTTTTAGCATAATCTACATTACCTAGCAGTTTGATAGGTTCAATTGGTTTGGTTTGATGATATTCATGAAACCATTCTGCAAATCCTTCTTCTGCGTCCTAATTTAAAAATGCATAGATTATTGTATTTGAGATCTCACACTCGGCATTCAAAATTATGGAAAATTATTTACCAAATAACATTTATATGCTAAATATTCCAAGATAAGTGATTGTATTTTTCCAGAAACTGATATCATATCCAACTCCAAAAGTTTTTCAAAATCAATATCAGCTTTATTTAATAATCTACAGATTGAATCCTTCTGAACCTAAAGTTTTACTTAATGGTAATWTAGTTTTACTTGACTTGAATAAAATAATATACCTTATTAAATGCTAAGCGGGCTGCTTGGATTTTTCCTTGAGCAACAAAATTACGTACAACTGCATTGATTTGCACAAATGCTTCTTCTACTTGGTGAGGATAATAAATTATCCAATCTAATGCAGAAATTAGTTCATAATCATCGTTGGTAATTTCTGAAAATAGATCTTGACCATTTGTCATATTGGTGAATCGGTTTCTATAAATTTTTTTAATAGTTAGATATTTTCATTATTTTACTTTGCATAAAAAATAATTTATTTTAATATATAATATATCATACTATTATAATAATTATATCAAATTTTTAATTATTGACTATTATAAGGGAAAATGTGAAGAAAAAAAAATATACACACCTGTATGTCTCAACAATTTGTTTTGTAATCTCTTCAACTGGTAGTGAAAACTTTTCAGCAGCCATGAGTCCACTAGAACGTTGTTCTGAGAAAACCATTTTTTCYAGGAACTTAGAATATATTATAACTTGACTAGTTGGTTCCAATTGAGATGTATAATAAGCTACTAACATTGGATCATTCATGGGAATTAAGACCTAACAAAA